GACGCGTTTCAGAAAGGCGGGGCATAGAGGAGAAACAATAATGTACAGTATGTGGAAAATAATGTTTTCTTTGAACTTTAAACAGCATAAACACATTTCATTACACCAAATACACAAAATAATGTTCTTTTTAGCAACATCATATGACCCCTTTAAAGTTTTCTCACCGGTGAATGACACATGATGTAACTCAGCGGTTCCCAATTCCAGTCCTCGCGCCCCTCTTTTTACTTTGTTTTGAGGTTAAATACAGATTTAAAATCATTGTTTAATAGCTATGATACTGTTTTTGAAATCAAATCTTTAGATAGCTATTATAAGAAACACTGGCATCTAACAATGCCTTGGAAAAAACTGTTAATCTTAAAAAATAAAACATACAAGGCCTGCATAAACCCAAATAGGAAATAAAACCGTTATCGAATAAGCATGTGTCCTATTCTGTATCCTAAACTAGTGAAACATTGGTGTATCATATTTTAGAGCAGTCAGTGAAATTTATGAAAGAAGTCAATTAAATCTGTATGTGTGTGAAAATATTTCCCTTTGTAATTGTTAACATTTTCATAAGTAACTGTAATTTAATTACAAATTTTTTTCTCAGTAAGTGTAACTGATTACAATTACATTTATTTTGTCAGTTATGTAATTCCATTCCATTACTCCATAAACACTATATATATATAAAAGTTAAAACATATGCTAGTGTACTCCTAAAAGTTTAAAAAGCAGACATGCAGAGCTGGGTAGATTACTTACAAATTGTAGTCTGTTACTAATTACAGATTACATGAAGACAACTGTAGTTAGTAACGTAATCTAAGATACTCATTTTTAGGCAGTGTAATGTGACTACTTTTGAAGATTACTTTTAGTTTAGTTGACTTTTTTATCAAACTTGTTTTAAAAAGTTACCATTAAATGTACCATACTGATATAAAAAGCAAAGAGAAAGAAAATATATTCCATTTTTTGATATCAACAAAATGCAATAAACATTACATTAAACCAGATTTACCCAAATTGGGCTTAATGTAAGAAATGCAGCGAGTTTGTGAGCGGATAAAAAGCTGATGATTAATTAAATCATAAAAATGTAAAATACTGTAAACAGGTGAATGTATTGTTCGATTATTATTGAAATATTACCTTCCTCTGAGATATTTCAAGTAAATATTTTATTTTAAGACAAAAACATTTCCCTGCATTATATGAACAAACATGAATAAACATGAAAACAACAATGACATGACATGCCCAAAGTGTTGCAGGTTTGGAATATTTTTGTCCAGACTTCCAGAATCAACAGTTACTGAAGGTCACTGGATCTGATGAAGGCATTGTGTTTCACAGCTATCACCAGTGTTTAGTAACTTAGGCTACTTGTTTCATACATGGACTAATTGCTTGAGAGGTGCCATTTTCACACAAATCCAGAAACATGGTTTGCAAATATATTTGCACGACATTAGTGAATATAGTCCAAGCTAAATGGTATATGATACAGTAAAAAACAGGACAATTAAAAAAAAAAGAATTAAGGAGAATCAATAAATAATGAATAATTTACTGTCATTGTGTGAATAATATCATGTAATCCATGATATCACAGGAATCTGATTAGGCCTACAGTTACTACCCAGACCTACTAAAAAGGACGCGAATTTGAAAAAATTGTGTACTTTTTAAATTTAGTACTTTTAGTATTTTTTATTTTTTTTTAGTAGTAATTTTAGTACTTGGGTGTGTGTAATACAGAAAAAAAAGAGAAGGATATGATATGATATGTAAAAAATGACTAAAATACTTTTAATTTAAAAGCGTCCATTTCCGGTTGACCTCGGACGTGGTTCCTGGTTACCATAGTAAAGCCGCTATTTTGACCCTGTAAAGATGGCCGGTAAAGTAACGTTTTTTGATTCGAGCTTAAGTTTTTCTTCTAATCGCAACACACAAGGATTTCAGTCCGCCTCACCTGATATACCAAAGTTTGTCCCTCTATCAAAGGCACAGCATGAGCTCGACGGTTCCGCGCAGGCGCAGGATCAGATCAGTCGCTGCTTTAATAAACTCCGATCACTGAGAGCGTCTGACAACGCGACTCTGAAAACGGAGCTCAATTTACTGTTCGACCAGCTCATCTCAGAAAACTACAACAGCGGCAACCATGACGGCATTCAAGCAGAGGTATGATCAGATTTATGCTGTTTTCTTTAAAGCTGTCAAGCTCAGACAAGCTGTCAGTCTCCCAAAACCTAACGTAGTAGCGCAACTACCTAGTAGACAGCATGTTTGGGCGTTGTATCTAACGCTCGAATGGAATACTTCATATCTGCCTGGATCTAGTGATCGAACACGTCTATGATGCCCATGTTATGGATCAACTGGGGATCGTGTTAACTGAGGATGTGTGCGTGTGCATGTTAGCTATTTTACATCCCATTCCAGCAGATTCGTCAAAAGCGACTGCAAAGCTGTAATGAAAAGACGTTGGTAATGTTCTAATGTTGATGCGATTATTACGCTGTGTTGTTAGCTCAATACCTGTTTTAATGTATGCGTCCCAGTTTAAGTGTCATGATTTCACGTGGTGACATGGTTCACAAACCACGCCCACGTTATCTTGGCACATCCACTTCTATGGAAAATGACTATCACTCAAATAAACGTATATTTCAAGTGTAATTCACTTCTATATACACTGACTGAGTGAAAATAGCGTTATTTAGCAGTCTGTTATTTACACTAAGTGCAAATAGCGATAGATTTTATTTACACTTTTTAAAAATAGCAGTATGATTCGAACTCGGATCAGCTGCAGCTATCCAAAGTTGCTGTTGTGCATTTAAGTCCCTACGCCGGCTGACGCGGTCGACATCTGCGTTTATTTTCAATAAAATGAATAAAACATTCACGGGAAAGGTGGAAATAAAGCACCAAAATAGCTATTTGATAAGTATGTTTATTTCAAACAAAAACATAAATTAATAATAAAAATAATTCATTTAAAAATTTTAATAATTAGGAAGTGATTGAATTAGTTCACAATTATGAGCTCTAGTTTGTGTCAAACTATTTTTTAATACATGTTTTGTTTTTACTCTATTACTGAATGTTTGATCAAATAAATGATTGCAGCTTTGGTGAACATAAGAGACTTTTTTTTTAAAAACATAAAAAACTTAATTACTGTATGCATTCATAATGTTTACATATATATCATTTAAAATATAAAGTAATAATAATAATTAATTAACATGTACAAAATTTGTTTTGCCATTTGTACAATTTCCAGTAATCTAAAAAAGGCAGAACCTAAGTCTGTGAGAGGGCATAATTCAGTGGTAGTGGTCGTCTAATATGGCTATCTGTCATCTTTCATAGGTTGTGTGTGAGATGCTTATGCATGCAAGCCGTCTGGTTCCTCTCAGCCAAGAGCATCTTATCATCAAACTGTGCCAACTGATTCATCAACTTCTAAACCAGCTACAGGTACTTACAGTATGGCCTTATATTGAATATGCGTATGGCTTTTTATCAAGAGGCATCTTTTTTTTTTAAATACTTTTTGTTACTACTTACAGGTAATAGTGGATGAGCATACGCTTGATGTTCTGGTATCATACTGCTCAGGTGCTGTGCGCACATGCAGCTCATGGACTCACCCGGAAGTGTTGCTTGCCCTCTCGTCACTAGTGTATGGCAATGGATGTCACAGGGTAAGAATTACAGATCTGGCAACTCTCACTCTTTTATAATGTTTAGAATCTAATCCTCATCATTTTGAATCCTCTCCAGCATCTTCCAGAGCTCCTTGGTCCGAGTGGTATTCTGGTAAGCTATGGTGACCCCAGCCAGCCAAACATAGAGTTACGTCGTTCTGCTGTGCATTGCATGGCTAATCTATGTCTCAGGTGAGCCATGTCCAGTGTCCAATCATGGCATAAATCAAGTCTTTGTATCTGGCTGCTATTTAATATCTATCTAAAATGTTGAAGTTGTTTTAAAAGAAATGAACTAAAGGCTGGAATACACTATGCAACGTTTGCCCAGATTTTTGCCCCAATTTGCAGTCCAAAGAGCTAAAAGGCCAGAGTCATCTGTAGATTTTGGACAGTCGGGTTTCACAGAAAATTTCACAATGTATGATGGGCATATTTTCTTTACCTCCAGACTATGATTCTCTCCAGTCTGAGGAAATCAAAATATTTTTATTTTTTCGTGTATCTTATAGCACACTGATGTGGTACCAAACATTTCCAGCATCCATACCTTTTAATTGTTTTCAACTAGTTATAAGATTTGACTATTAATACAATTTCTAAAAGCAAGGAAACTATTTAGCAGCATTACGGCCCATTCGTATAAAAAAAGATAAACATAAATATAACTGTAACACCGGGCTATAATGTTCTGTTTATTATAAGCGCACACAGGGGAAAAAAGTGACTCCAATGATATTTTTCCTCTGTGTCATCTCCGTCTTGGTGTGGATTATCTATTATAGAATTAGAAGGATAATTAAAACGTTATAGTTGTCACTAAAGTTATTGTCCTTGGTGAGAATGGCCCTTTAGAGTTAAATGTCAATTTTTTTCTTTGTGTACTAGTGTTCCTGGTCAGCCATATTTAGAGGAGCCATATAAAGGTGTATGCTATGGAATCCTCCTGCGGACACTACAGTCCCCCAAACCACCTGATGTGGAGGACATTGTCTTCTGTACAGTCAGTACTGCATGTTTATCTGATGCTACTATAAGTCAAGGTGAGGTCACATTAGCGAAAGTTAGACGATGTCCAATTTCTGTTGTCATGAGTGTGGTAACATATCCCAGTTCACACTGAAGTCCCTTTCAAAGTAAACGCCTTTCTGTTGATCAACACGAATTTGCACGACCAACTTAAACTTGAGCAGAATTTGCGTGGGGGACTTTTTCGCATTCATGTGAAACTCACAATCGCACAGATTCCTATTGAAGTGACCTATGAGTTTTCTCATAGCAATGGTAAATGTGACCGCACCTTAATGTAATCGTTCACCTAAAAATGGAAATTTGTTGAAAAGGTACTCGCCCTCAGGCCATCCTACGTGTAGATGAGCTTGTTTCTTTATTAAATTAAAGGAATAGTTCACCCAAAAATGAATATTTGCTGAAACGTTTCTCACTCTCGAGCCATCCAAGATGAGTTTGTTTCTTCATCAGAGCAGATTTGGAGAAATTTAGCATTGCATCACTTGCTCACTCGTGGATCTTCTGCAGTGAATGGGTGCCATCAGAATAAGAGTCCAAACAGCTGATAAAAGCATCACAAGTAATCCACACGACTTTACTCCATCAGTCAACATCCATCAGGGGTAATATGGATTACTTGTTGGGGATTATTGCAATGTTTTTATCAGCTGTTTGGACTCTCATTCTGACGGCACCCATTCACTGCATTTTCAGCAAATGTTCATTTTTGGGTGAACTGTTCCTTTTAATTAAGGTTACTGAAGTGCTGTCAAACTGTTGGTTATTCACATTTTCTTTTATGCACTGTGAAAGTTTCCCATTGCTTGTGTTTCAGTTATTGCAGAGTGCTCTGAAGGCAATGGAGTATTTTCTCAATGGTGGAAAATGGAAAGCCGTTCCAAACCAGGATTTGGGCACCTTATTGGCCGTGCTCAAAGTATTCATACTGTTCTATTCTTGTTTTTATAGCTGTAGATATACAGATTGGTTATACAGTTAGAAAATGAAGCTGATTAGTGGTGGGGAGCGAATTGTATTATGATAATTGATAGTTGTGTCCTTTGCAGAGATTCATGTTCTATGGCTTTGCCGGGAATAAGTGTGGAAATGCCACAGGTGTTGTACCCAGCTCCTCTCCCTCAGTATGAGACTGTTGCTGCTGCAAAACCTGAACCTTCACAAGACTCAACTGCACAGAAAAAAACAGCTGGGGTAGGTGGCCATATAAGTGCACATATGTTCGAAATATAAGATTAAAGGGTGTTGTGAAATCAAGGCTATAATTGTATCATTTGCAGAGGAAGAAAAACCTCTTAATTCTGCTTAAGTCCCAACAGAACAAGAAGCGCAAGTCTCGGGGGAAAGGGAAGAAAGCTGGAGCTGAGGGAAAGAAGGACGGAGAGGAGGGAGAGGGTGACCACATCTCTGGGTCTCTTAAAACTGGAGGAGGTGGATTGGATCAGAGTGGTTGGTCACATGGCTCACAGTCCGCTAGTGTGACGTCCCCGTCAGGAGCGAGTCCACAGCTCTACCCTTCCTGGAAGAAAGGGAGCTCTGACTCTGAATTCTCTGACCCTGAGGGAGGAATGCAGTCTAAACTCAGGTTTGACCCTCGGACTATTAATGCCAGGAAAGCTTTCTTAAATTATTAGGTCAAATAAAACATTGACAGGTGGTAAATGACCTAGAAAAAAAACACGTATATGCATTTGTATTTTTACATAATTTATGCAGAGATCAAGTTTTTTTTATGACTAATATTTATTATTTTTATGTTTAAGTGTCCAATAACAGATATGCCGATCTTATTTGTTTTAATTGTTTAATTTCTTCTTTTTTATATGATTAACTGAATAATAATTTTACTACAACAATAAAAACACATTATAACATATAACAATGCATGTATTTTAATGTGTAATAATAATTAATAATTCACATTAAATATGATTATGAATTACCTTTGTTATATTCACTTTTCGCACAAGAGTTCAGTAACTGATACTGTATTTCCGTTCTGACACAGTCTGCGATTTTGTAATTATTTAACTAAATAGTATTTATATTTGAACAACAAAAACCTATGCATGATGAATCTTTTGTATAATTATGTTGTTGTATTTTGTACAATAAAGTGTAATTTAATTAATGCATATTTTCATGTTTAATAATTTATTAATTTGTTCATGATCATCAGTATTATTAATATTCATTATCATTGTTATCATAAATATTCGGATTTTGTGCATGACTCTGGCACAACTTTAAAAGTAATTATATCACTAAATAATTCTATAACTAAAAAATAATTCCATTACAACAAAAAATCTATTCATTCTGAATATTTTGCATCATTACGCTATTGTATATTGTTCAGTAAATTATTATTATTGATTATTTAGTTTAAAATGCTACATCAAATATTTCTGTAACTTTTCACCCAAGTATGATTGGCTCTTACGTAAGAAGTTAATTAGCTAATCTACTTTTCTGTTTTGTCATGAGATATGATTGCACTGTAATGGGTTTAGATGTCTTTACGTGTAAATGTGTTTGTTTTGGCTACTTTGGCTTCACCTCTAGGTTGCATCAAGCACTTGTGCGGCAGAGTGCGCTTCAGTGCTTCCTGGCTGTGGTCAAGTGTGTAGAGAAACGAATCCTCTATGGCTACTGGTCTTCCTTTGTTCCAGATGCTCCTGGGATTGGAGGCCCTCCTCCTCTTACCCTCCTGACCATTGCCCACCTCCCCAAAGGTAAAACACAAGTCCACTGTTGGCCATTTACTTTCTGACCTGAGAGAAATTTGACTTTTGATGTGTCACATTTGCTCCTAGGTACGGGCAGGCTCTCTGCAGGTTCTGTCTGCTCTTCTAGAAGGTTCTCGCCAGTTCCTCTCCACCGCTGAAGACACCAGTGCACCCCGCCAGGCCTTCACTCCCTTTTCGGCTACATTAGCTGCCAGTGTCAGAGAGCTGCACCGCTGCTTGCTGCTTGCACTCATAGCGGAGTCCTCCTGTCAGACACTCACTCAGGTCCTAAAGGTAACAGAACACACACTCACAGCAGTGTTCTTTTTATTTACTACAACTAAAAACATTAAAAATCATTTTTGCTGGCTGAAATAAAGATTATTTATTTGTTTGTTTGTTTGGATGCCCATTAGCTATGCCCAATAGCATTGCTAGTCTTCCCGGGGTCCACACAACACTTAAAATTCATACATTATTACATACATAAAAAAACTATTAAATACATTTTTCACATTCCAAGACACCTCTATAAACATTTCTTCCACCTTTATAGTGTATAAAAAAACCTGCAATTAATTCTTATACTTCAACCTTCTATAAATGCAATAATCCAATCCAAGTTTTCCGTGTTATCCTAATTATTGACACTGGTAAGAGATTCCATGATTTCAATGCCATATATACTACTGTACGTTAAAAGAAAATTAGTTTTAGCATTAGGGAGTAAAAATCTACCCTCTGTTGCTCATCTAGTAGCATATTCATGTGACTGAACTTTGGATTGTAATTGATTATACTGATACAAAGGAGTTTTAAACTGTAAAACCTTCCATGTTGATAACAGTATTGCAGCAATCATCCTATCTTCCACTCTTAGCCATTTAAGATTAAAATGCATACTGTTTATTTTAATACCATATGGACACTGGAGAATTAATCGCACTGACTTATTTTGTACCAGCTGGAGTTTCCTTAAATCCTTTTTTGTAGCATTAGCCCATATTATCCGACAATAGTCAAGCTGTGAGAAGAAGAGAGTTTGATTTGTATTAGTTATCTATTTTAGTTTTAGTTACAGTTGTAGTAATGTTGTCATTTTATTAGTTTTTTTATTATGTCTATATAGGTTTTTTTTTATTAAGTTTTAGTTTTATTTAATTTGAGTTATTTCAGTACTTCAGAGTATCCAATATTATTTTCATCATATCAAACATAAAATATGTTCTACATCTCCTCACTACAACTATAACACCCTTACCATTCTCTTCAGTGTATTCTCAATGTGCTTTGACCATGACATTTTATTATCCAGGCTGATACCCAATAGTTTCGCTTCATTAACTTAAATAAAATAGCTTAAATAAAATACAAATATTTGATGAATAACCTAAACTAAAAAATAATGGAAATATTACCTTGGTTTAGGTGAAGTTACTAAAATTACAACAGAAATTAAAGCATAGAAACATTTAATATTTCAACAAATATTTCAGAAGAACAAAAATTAAGAATGCCCTTTATGCCCTTATGCCATAGACCAGTATCTCTGAAGCATATTTTGATAGACTTTGATGATTTTTAATGAAGTGAGGCCTGATTTAGTTTTAGAATTTGTTATTAGTTTTTTTTATAAAAGATAAATTTATAAATGTTGTTTTTATTTGTTGTTCATATATAGTTATATATATTTATACACACACACTTTGAATATAGCCATGACGCTAAATTAAAAGCAAAAACGAATAAAAATGACAGTTAATTACTAACAAAAATTTAACTAAAAACTAAACTAAAACTAAAATTAAAACCAAATTTAACAATAAAAGCGAATTCAAAATAAATACTATAATTTCTATTATAATTTGTAAAATTATAAATAACACATGCAGTGGCTTCAGAATAATGCTAGACCTTTCTCAGAACTAACTTAATAATTACCAATTGGTATAAATGCCAGTAAATTCACTAACACAGACATTAGTAAGTCAAGTTGCATGATTCATTTAAATACTCTCCTCCCATAAATTTTGCGTCTGAAAGGGAAACTTCTACAAATGCATTTGCAGTAAGATCGGCTGCAAAAATAACTGTCCACACATTTTCACTGCTAATTTTTCAATGTGTGCCTTAAAATAAATCCTGACCGTAGTTTTTTTTTTTTATACGAAAAGGGGGTTTGCACTGGTTCATGCTGTTAGTAAATCTGGTCAAAAGAGTTTGTGAACACTATTTTTGTTTTGTCTTTCAGTGCCTTGCCCACCTGGTTTCCAACGTGCCCTATAATCGTCTCAGACCGGGCCTGTTGAGCCCACTGTGGAAACAGATCCGTCCATTTGTGCGCCACAGAGGTACTATTATAAGTTGGACTATTAAAACTGTCCAGATGTTGAATACTTGGTCTAAAAAAAATTCTAATAATTCAGCCAATTTGAGTATCCACCATTCCTTCTCTTCCTCCCATGGTAGATGTGAACGTCCGTGTGTCCAGTCTCACCCTCTTCGGTGCATTAGTCTCAACACAAGCCCCCCTCCCAGAGATCCAGCTCCTCTTCCAGCAGCCCGGATCCACATCCGCCCTCAGCACCCCCGGCATCAGCACTCCGCAGGAGCTCTCTCACAACTGGAGACTTCTCACTCTGAGAGACGGAGAGATCTCGTCTCCTGGAGGAGGAGTTGAAGGGGGTCAGGAGGGGCCGTGCTTGCTGTTGCAGCTGTGCGTGAGCCTGGTCACTCAGCCTCGTGAGGAACCGTACTCTGATAGTGACGCAGGCGGGTCTAGTGGAGCATCGCTGAAACCTTCACCCGTACGACTTGAAGCCCTGCAGGTGAGTGGTCTGTTTGTGAAGAGGCAGCCATCTTGAAATGTTTGTCTTGAATTGTTTGTATGTGGTTTATTTCAGGTTTTGGCTCATCTGGTGAAGGGTTACTTCTCATTGGCTCAGACATCTCTGTTGGAATTGGGGCAACTCAGTGCTCACTGTCTCACAGAGCAAGATCCATGGCGCTAAAGTATTGGATCTTTATGTCTTTGTCATTTCCTGTCTCATTGGTGATTACAATGGTGAACATTTTGTTCAAATCCCTAAACTTAAAGGCATGTTCGCAATAAAAATTCAGGGTTCTTTCAGACCAGTGCATAAAAAAACTGCAGATGGGCTGAATTAAAATGCAAATTCTCTCTCTGACAGCAGGTGGCGCTTATGGAAAAGCAGTAATTCAAATGTTTGTAGGTCTGAGCAGAGACCACCGTTCATTCAAATTAAAATGTTTCTCACACCAAACATTCATCTTGATGTAAATAGGACTTTACTCTTAAACTTAAGCAAGTAACTTGTCCTGCACCATTTGTGCTGTATGAAACCTGTATGTATTACCTCAAATTGTAAGTCTTGTAAGGCACTGGATTCTGATTGGCTGTCAATGATTTTATCATTCATGAGCTAGAAATTTATTTTTTGGGATGTGACATCCAAAGATGTCATTCTTCTGTGTCGTTATCGTTATAGTTGTTGTGTGGATTTACCTGTTTTCATAGAATTAGATTGAACACTTTAGATTAGGGAACACATATTTACTATTAACTGTTTTCCCTCAAACTCCCAATGTGCTGCTTATTAATAGTTAGTAAGGTAGTTGTTAAGTTTCTGCATTGGGTCGGGTTAAGGGATCTAGAATATGGTCATGCAGAATAAGGCATTCATATATGCCTAATAAGGACTAATAAACAGCCTATATGCAAGTAATATGCATGCTAATAAGCTACTAGTTAATAGTGAGAACTTGTCCTTAAAATAACGTTTTACCAAACTTACATATTTATAGTTATTGCTATAGTTATTGTGCTTGGTGTGAACCTTAGCAACAACCTAGAATCATAGCGATGACTTTAGCATGGGCAAGCACCTGTAATAGTTTTTTCTTAAATTGTTACATTTTGTATTGTGTGTCTCTTGCTTGATCTTGATTTACAATTTCTGTGTAATTTACAAGCTTCTGGAAGAACTGGGAACAGGTGTTATCCAGCAGTACAGAGCTGATGCCAACACCACTCCACAAAGTGCCAAATGCGTGCCAGTGTGTCAGGTAAAAAATTCTACATGTAAGGTCTAAATCTAAATTCAAAGATCATGATATTGATGTAATACTGGTCTTTTGCCCTTTTCAGGTGGTTGAGTTCTGGTCCGAGGTCTTGGGTGGTTCACTGATCAGTGCCTTACAGAACGAGCAGCATCCCACCCTACAGACCAGCGCATGTGACACCCTCTCCTCCATCTTGCCACAAGCTTTCAGCCAGCTGCCCGTGAGTGTGTTTGACCTCTTGAGTTTCTACATGTGATGTTCTTTGTGATATTCATGTATATCACTATCTCCAGGATAAGACGCAAGTGCTGTGCACTAGGTAACTACCACGTTCAAGGTCCAGAAAAGTACCAAGATGATCGACAAAGTAGTCCGTGTGACATCAGTGGTTCAACTGTAAAGTTACGAAACTACGAGAATACTTTTTTGCGCAAAGAAAACAAAAATAACGACTTTATTCCACATTTTCGTCTCTACTGCATCACGTAAAAAAGTATTCTCGTAGCTTCGTAACTTTACAGTTGAGCCACTGATGTCACACGGACTACTTTGTCGATCATCTTGGTACTTTTCTGGACCTTGAACGTGGTAGTTACCTTGCTGTCTATGGGAGGGTCAGAGAGCCCTCAGATTTCATCAAAAATATCTTAAATTGGGTTCCGAAGATGAACGAAGGTCTTGCGGGTTTCGAACAACACGAGGGTGAGTAATTAATGCTTTCATTTTTGGGTGAACTAACCCTTTAAGAACATAATTTATTATTTTATTTTACTATTTACTTTATGAGTAAATCCACCTTCATTTAGAAAAGTACTCTGCACTGATTTAACTTTACTAACTTTGCAATTTTTGTATTTTTTTTTTTGACGACCACAGGATGTCATGTTTGTGGCAGACACGGCTAATGCCATCCTCACTGCTCTGGATGACCGCTCACCCAACGTTCGTGCAAAGGCAGCCTGGTCACTTGGCAACCTCACCGACACACTCATTGTCAACATGTAAGAAAGACAAATGACCACATCTGTGTGTGTGTGTGTGTGTGTGTGTTATGTTAATCTAGTATACTGATGGTTTTCCTTTCTCATCTGTTGTCTTCAGGCAGTCAGTGGGGCTGGAGTTTCAGGAGGAGTTCTCTGATAGGCTGCTGCTGAACATGCTGAGATCTGCCACTAAAGCTTCAGGAGATAAAGACAGGGTGGGTATTTCTTTTTTGTTACTGATGCCAGAAGCCTTTTACATGATGTGTTCACACAGCATCTTCAAAAGATTTCTACAGTTGTTAAATAAAATGTGTTCCACCTTGAAACTTGTAGAAAGTTTATTCACTATGCTAAATTATACAATTATTTAAGATTTCGGGCAAGGAATCCCTGATATGTACCACTGTTAGAGAGTGAGTTGCTTGTTAAAAAAATTGTTTTATTAGGGCAGATAAGATCCCAAAACCCATCACCCCTCAAAGCCAAAATGTTACAACTAAACAACTTTATTTAATGTTATCAATGAAATTATACTTCATTTCTTAATTTCCTGAATGTTACTTGCACACACACACACACACACACATTGCATTTCTTATTTTTATCATCACAGTTTGGAAACTTTATACTTTTTTTTTTTTTTTCACGATTCTTTGATGAAATGTCAATTTAATGCATCCTTCTTATTAATTCCTTTCTAAATATTACTAAACCCAAACTTTTCAACAGTAGTGTATTTAGTTTAAACAGCTTTTAGCTAATAGTTACAAAGTGTTTTATTGTAATTCTTGTTATCAGTTGATAATGGATATTAATTATTCAATGTTATTGATATTTAACTGTGGAGATTTCTGTCAATTCAAGATGTCGTAAAAACCTAATGTAACCTTTTATAAGCATTTCTTGAAGAGTGTGTTCTCTGTAATAACACTTTCCCTTCAAGAGTAGCTGTGTAAATCTGTTTTTGTTCATGCATAAAGAACAGTTGAAAATTTGGTAAATTCATCAATTGAAAATTGACCTTAACTAATTATCATTAACACATTTCAGTTCCTTGTTCATCTATCCATATATGGTGTTATTGGCCATAACATTCAAATAGTTCAGCTTATCTGTCAGAATTTGAATAATGGCGCATCCTTGTTAAGGGCAGAAACAAAAGCCGCTTTTTCACAATGTATCAAGTGTTACTGAACTCCAAGCTTGATGTTGCAGTTAAAGAGCAATGCTGTCCGTGCACTTGGGAATCTGCTTCACTTCCTGCAGCCGGTGCACCTGGGAAAGCCTGTGTTTGAGCAGCCTCTGCAGGAGGCCATGAGGGCACTGATAGATACGGTTAGAGGAGATGCAACCATGAAAGTGCGCTGGAACGCCTGCTATGCGCTGGGCAATGCCTTCAGAAATCACAACCTGCTTCTGGGTGAGTGAACATTATATTTATTAGATTTATTGAATTCAAAATTAAATAAAAAATTTGGGTGATGTCCTGATATCATAATGAACAAAAAAATAACAGTTCTTAAAAAGAAAATAAAAGAAAAAGTTTTGTTTTTTATTATAGATTTTTTGAAATAATAATTTAACACAACTGCTTCACTGCTTATTAACATTTGAAAAATATTTGTCCCCTAAACAAAGTCAAAGCTTAAAAACATGATATTATTTATTATATTTATTACAAAATAGTTTTCATCTTTAAAAATATTTACACTTTTACATGTTTTTTTTGTTGTTGTGTGTATTCAGAGTGTAAGGAAAATGTTATTACTTTTTACTTGATGGTTACACAGAACATTTTAAAATATATAATAGAAGTTTAAAGTGGTATAAATAATGAAAATTAGATTGGAAAAACATTTCTTTATCATGGCAACGTATACTTGGATTTTTATGCGTGCAATAAAGTAGACGTATAATACACGTGACGTAAATTTTGTTCACAGCCTATTATGTGCGTATTGTTCGCATTCAGCCCAGTTTTCTAACACCATAACTCTGTTCACTCAGCTCACACATGCACGTTGAATTTTTTTGCAAAAAATTATTTGGTCCACAAGGTGGCAACACTGACCTGGGCTGTTGTTTCACAGTCAAAAAAAGAATTGTAAGAGACAGAACTACAACAAGACGTAGAGGAGATTATTTCTTCATAGAAAACACATTTGGAGAAATGTACTTGCTTGGAGAGATACCAATGGATCCTCTGCAGTGACACGTTGAATTTTTTTGCACAAAATTATTTGGTCCACAAGGTGGCAACACTGACCTGGGCTGTTGTTTCACAGTCAAAAAAAGAATTGTAAGAGACAGAACTACAACAAGACGTAGAGGAGATTATTTCTTCATAGAAAACACATTTGGAGAAATGTACTTGCTTGGAGAGATACCAATGGATCCTCTACAGTGAATGGGTGCCGTCAGAAGGAGCGTTCAAACTGCTTATAAAAACGTCACAATAATCATGACTCTAGTCCATAAATTATCATCTTGTGAAGTGAAAAGCTGCGTATTTATAATAAGTCCATCGTTAAGTCATTTGTAACTTTAAATTGTCGGATTTTTATACGTGCAATAAGGTATACGTATAGTACACGTGACGTAAATTTCGTTCACAGCCTATTATGTGCGTATTGTTCGCATTCAGCCCAGTTTTCTAACACCATAACTCTGTTCACTCAGCTCACACATGCACGTTGAATTTTTTTGCAAAAATTATTTGGTCCACAATGCTGACCTGGGCTGTTGTTTCACAGTCAAAAAAAGAATTGTAAGAGACAGAACTACAACAAAAACAAACTACTGGAGATGTAACTGCAATAGACACCTGTGTTGAACACTTTAATGAGGGGGTTAAGAAATAAATGGACATGTAGTCCATAACAATGTTCCTCTTGAGGACAATAAAGTATACTACTACTAAATGCAACAAAAAAAAACATTCATAATTTCTTGAGAGAAATAGTGCAGACACTGGGCAAAGTTTCTAGTGCGCATGTTAAACGCCTGTGACACTTTAATGAGGGGGTTAAGAAATAAATGGACGTGTAGTCCATAACAATTTTCCTCTTGAGGACAATAAAGTATACTACTACTAAATGCAACAAAAAAAAACATTCATAATTTCTTGAGAGAAATAGTGCAGACACTGGGCAAAGTTTCTAGTGCGCATGTTAAACGCCTGTGTTGATGCACGCTATCAAAAACTGTGTTTGGCTGTATGTATGCACTTAGCATTTGAGTCAGAACTAAAGTTTACTTTAGCTCTTGTTTGACACCATCTAGTGTTCAGAATATCATAGAGATTTAGAGGTGGGTTAATTTGGCCAAGTAAGTAAAGCTTTCAGAAAATGCAGTTTGAGTTGTACTTACGAGTTCTACAAGGACGTGAATGCTTTTTACAAGTTGGGATCTCATAATTACGGTAATTCATGGCGTGAACGCAGTTTAACGCACACGACTTGACTTGCAGGTTGTGCTGTCTGGTCTAAAGAAGCTTACTCTGCCCTGTCCTACGTCGTCACTTCCTGCAAGAACTTCAAAGTACGCATCAAATCCGCTGCTGCACTTTCTGTTCCATCGACGCGTGATCGGTACGGTGACGTTCACCAGTTCGCCGAAGTGTGGCGAGCTTTGGCTCAGGCCCTTGAACACAGCGAAGAAACGGAGGACTTCCTTGAATATCGTTACTGTGCTAGCTTACGCTCACAGCTCTGCCGTGCTCTCCTGCACCTTCTGTCCGTATGCCAGCCTGATGACCTTCCAGCGCTGAGGTCATCACTGAGCCACCAATCCAGGCCAGTGCTACAGGGCTTCCTGGTTCACTACCGTAGCGATAAGGGTGTGACTTTGGCTGCTGGGGTTGATGGTGCTGCAGGGGAGGAGGCTGGGGATCATGCGGTGCCTGAAGATGGTTTGATGGTGCTCAACGAGACCCTGACCAGGCTGAAGGGACAGCTGGAAGAGGCCGTGTTGGACAGCAGTGAGGATCTGAAGACTGGGGTGAATTTCAACGAGGATGTAGTGAGGAACTCTGAGGAGATGAAAGAATCAGACCGCAAAGATTCCTCCCTTGCACTCAGCAAATCACCACAGCGAAAGTGACAATACAGATGTGCCATGACTGTCTGAGGTTGAACCTATCTTTTAGATTTTATTAAAAATGTATGCATTAAAGTATATGTCAAAATATCAAAGAAATTCCTGTAAAGTCTCGAGTTCCACTTTTAAAGAAATAGTTCACCCAAAAATGAAAATTCACAGTCCTTCAGGCCATCCAATATGTAGAGGAGTTTATTTCTTCATAGAAAACACATTTGGAGAAATGTACTTGCTTTGAGAGATACCAATGGATCCTCTGCAGTGAATGGGTGCCGTCAGAATGAGAGATCAAACAGCTTATAAAAGCCTCAGAATAATCATGACTCTAACATCTTGTGAAGTGAAAAGCTGCGTATTTGTAAAAAGTCCATCGTTAAGTCATTTTTAACATTAAATTGTCGCTTCTGACCAAAATATGGGTCCATAATTCATAATAACATTTCGTCCAGGGAAAAAGGTCCATCCCCTGTTGTCCTCTCACGCTAAAATGTGATGCAAAATTTCTTCAAATCTGTAACAATGAAGAAACAAACGCGTTTGCATCTTGGATGGCCTGAGGGTGAGTTCATTTTAAGCTAATTTATGTTTTTGGGTGAACTATTCCTTTGAAACTAATTTCACTTTGAGTGATTTAAAGCAAATAGACAAATAAAAAAAGCATTCTTACTTGTAGACTCAAGTGTCATTTAAGGAGATCATTCTGAATTATTCACACTTGGTATGCATGTGTGTACAGAATGTATTAGTACTGTTACTAAAAAAATATTTATTGTGGGTAGTTTTCATTTTCGTTTGCATTTTTATTATACTAAGACTGACAGTATATTACACTATTACGGTATATACAGAGTATTATGACAGTATATTAGACTAATGCAGACATTAATTTAGGAACACGCTGTAATTTTACATGCGGTTTGGGTATAAAACATTTCAGACATTTTTTCTCACTTACCCCATTGTAGCAAATTTTCAAAAATTTTTGTTTAAGTAATACAGTTTTCTTAAATGTAATTAGAACTATATTGACATCTCATACTCTGAAATGTATTAATAAGATGACAGGTTTGCTGGGGTTTCTCAGTGTGTGTGATTGGGTTTCTGCATTTGCGAGCAGCACGAAGCTCTTGGTTAAACCCTCTGTGAAAATGTGAATCATGATTACTCACCATTTTCTTCCAAAGCAGCTTACAGTAAGTAATTACTGTCCCCTGAGGCAACTTATGTACATGATACCCATATAATTGAGAAGAACTGGTCTTACTGTAACTTCCATTTCTAGGTCATTCGTTCTTGGGATTGAATCATTAACTTGTATTAGCAGCCATTAGGTTAATCATAAGGTTACCACTACATCTCTTTATAGACACAGAGTATCTGGACACTTTCTGGTTGTCAAATATTAGTGGAAAATGTAATGAATGAGACCAAACAAAAGTATCACTGAAATTATGTATATATACTGTATATGGGTCAAAGACGTTAAGATGTCCGCATCAAAAGAAATTTACAAAAGTGATTTTATGTCCATAGAAAGCACATTAAATGCAAGTAAAGTGTCTACATTTAAAGTTTCAAATATGAATCAATGTCAAAATTTGTTTGAAATGGTCCATTGTCATTCAGTGTAGCACTTATAGTTATGTAAAAATTCAAACAACATGCTTATTCTGACCTGTACATATTAAAATATATAAAAGAATGAGCATATTAAATTTTATTGGGTTTTAAATGAGTAAAAAATTCTTACTGACAAATGGGCAAAACCTAGGATAGTGGCAAATTTAAAAAATTTAAAATAACAACTAAGTAGTATTTGGGGTGAATGTAATTAGTTTTTTAATATGTCATAAATTGATTTTTGTTGTAAATATGCCTGACAAGATTGTTACACTGAATGACATTTTAGTGGGTCTCTTCTGTAAATCAGGGAAAAATGTATGATATTTATTTTTTGCTCAGAAAAACAAAAA